CCTAAACTCTAAACCCTAAACCCCGCGATTTGTCCGAGGCGCTGGGCACTCCCTGAGGCCTTGGCCTTCGAGGCAGCCCGGCCGGGGTGAAGAGTTTAGGGCTTACCTGAACCCCAAGTTAGCCTAACTTTTTTAGGGTTTAGGGTTTAGGGTTTAGGGTTTAGGGGGTTCCTTATTATAGTTTCTTTGTATAAGTCCTTTAAACAGGTAGGTTCTTTGGGGTTCAGGTAGGGTTTAGGTCCCAATGTCTGGGTGAGTAGGCGTTCTAAGGTTTCATAAGGGCTCACAACCCTAAACCCTAGACTGCGGAGGTGTTCTAGGCGGCTTATGCGGTTTCTATAGGGTTAACGAGCTATCGGATTCTGGTTCTAGCAGCTTTGATTTAGGGCTTAGGGATGTTTGGATGTTGTTCGTTTTAGGCTCTGCAGTGTAAAAGCTCTGCTACTTACTACGGTTTGTGTTGCAACTGTGCGTGATCCCAGAGACGTCCGGCTTAGCCTTCTTAGGCATTCGGGCGGCTTAGGCTTTTAACTCTCCATAAACCCTGAACCCCTAAACCCTCTCCATGCCTAAACCCTCGACTCTGAACCCTTCGTAGTGATCCTAATGAAAACCCTAAACCCTAAACCCTAAACCCTGAACCCTAAACCCTAAACCTCTAGCTGGGGGTTTAGGGTTTTCTAGGGGTTTAGGGTTTCAGGGGTTTAGGGCTCAGGGGTTTAGGGCTTTAGGGTTTAAGGGTTTAGGGTTTAGGGATTTAGGATTTAGGGGATTAGGGTTCAGGGGTTTAGGGCTAAGGGGTTTGGGTTTTGGGTTTAGGGGTTTAGGGTTTTCAGGGGTTTAGGGTTTAAGGGTTTAGGGTTTAGGGCTGAGGGCTTAGAGGTTTAGGGGTTTAGGGTTTAGGGTTTCAGGGATTTAGGGTTTTTTTTTGGTTTAGGGTTTAGAGTTCTAGGGTTTAGGGTTTCAAGTTTCCACAAGCAGAAAAGCATACTACAGTTCCTGCAGTTTAATATTTACCATAATCATTTCAGCCTTATGTTCGCTCCTCCTGAATGCGAGGCTCTTAACAGCCAAACCCAACAGCTTAGACCTCAGGCCTCAGACCCCAAAAACCGACATGACAAAGAGGCCCAGACACCTTTGAACCTTGAAGCCCAACGTCCCTAAACCCTAAACCCCTAAACCCCTAAACCCCTAAACCCCTAAACCCCTAAACCCCTAAACCCCTAAACCCCTACACCCCTACACCCCTACACCCCTAAACCCTAAACCCTAAACCCTAAACCCCTAAACCCTAAACCCAAACCTCTTGCGCGGCAGCTTGCTGCTGCAGTCCAAAACTTGATGCTAACTGTCTCTCTC